TAGCCATTTCCCTGGCAGCGGGAGAGCCTGGGCTGCAGCGCTCGCCTTGAGAAAGGGCTTTTTTAGGGTGGTTTTTTTGAAGCGGGGAGTATTTTTTCATGTTTCTTTAGGGAAAACTGCTCTCCTGAAACGTAGGGTTGGGAAAAAAAAAATCTGCTGGCTTGGCTGCCTCCAACCACACTTTGAGGAACACTTACAGGCTTTCTGGCTGCTTAGTGCAGAGCCTTGCCTGGTGTGGCTCCTGTTTGACAGGCGGTCTAGGTCCAGGCTTGCAGGTGACATCGGTTTTTGCCCTCGTTCTTGTTTTCAGTGGAAATTCTTAGAAGTCTCTCTCAAGGCAGTTAATCGTGTAGATCCCTGTTTTAGAGTGCTTTAGCCCCTTCCTGCCCGCAGCCTTGATATCTCCATGCATGGTACCTCTTGTTTTAGGCGAAAGTCCTCTGTGGGTCCAGTACTGGCATTTTGGATTGGTGATGTTTAACATGTTTGCCACGCAGGTCCCTATAGTGGAGACAGTGTCACACAGCTTTGCATCTTTGTGACCCTGTTGAGCCAGGATCATTCCACATTACTTAACTCAGTAACAGAACTTGTTTACTTAGGTGTATAAGTGATGTCACCCACCAAATATAGTTCCCTCTAGGGCTTTGGGCCATGCTAACGGTGTGGTGGTGCTTTCTTAGTTAAAACCCTTTTGCTGCAGTATATAAGCACGCTGTGTAACAGCATTATGCTCAAGAATCTTGGTCCATGCTTCTGAATCCCAGCCTTCACAGTTAGTTGGTGTGCCTAAAGACTGGAAGAGTTTGGGCACCTAGTTGAGACTGAGATAGCACATGAGCAATAAACAAACAGCACAACGTAGCTTTTGAAGTCACTGCCAAGCACTGAGTGAGCTTGATGAAGTTTGGGTATCCTTTCACAGAGAAGTCAAGTGTTTTGCATGCATGCATACACATGCACACACACGAATTTTCTGTGATGCTTGCAATTGGAAGCAAATGCATATGATTACATTTGTCTTCATGTTACTCATAGTGTGTTTCGGGATACCTAGCACCTATGTAGTATCATACCTTTCTAAAGTACAATACAAATAACTCCCACTGCACTTTGAAGACTATTTTCCTTGCTTCCCTATTGGTAAAAATAAGATTAAAATGCTTTTGCAAGGTGTGGTACTCTGAATCTGTGATCATACCTTAAAGCATCTTACTGTCAGCTGAAATTTATCTTCTAAATGTTACCAGAATGAGATTAGTGCTGAATAGCAGTTGTCTTTTGGGTCCAGGAAACAGCCTTGTCTAAACGACGTTGGAAGTCAGGATTTTTTTTCCTCTTTTTGCTTGTATGCAGGCGTGGGATGTGTTTATTCAGAGCAGTGTAATCCAGGAAAGTAACTCTGGAAACGTGAGCTGCACACATACCTGTTCCTTTCCTGCAAATAACACTTTTTTTTTTTTTTTTTGAGTAACATGGGTGGGGAGATGAGCTGGTGGGGGGAGGGTAAGAGTTGAGCTGGTTGGTAAAAGTCTTGCCGCGGGCTTGGGATCCGTTTCAGATGACCTTCATCGTGAGCAGACAGTATGTGGGTGGTGTCGGCTTTGTATTCTGACTTGTCCTAACAGCCAGTAATCCGATTACATTTAGGTTGACATTGTGGACATCTATGAGTCTATCCGTGAAAGGCAGCGTCATGACAGCGAAAGGTCTACCTGCAGCACCTTGGAGCAGAACGACATTGAAGCCGTTGAAGCGCTTGTTTGTATGAGCTCCTGGGGTCAAAGATCGCAGAAAGGTGACATATTAAAGATAAGGCCCCTTACGCCCTTCTCGGATTCTGGTGATTTCACAATGCACGCTGAGGCTACGTCTGAATTACCAAAGGACTATTTATCTACACTGGTAAGAAGAACATGAAGGCAAAAAAAATATGCCTGACATCTGGATGTTACATTTCTGCAATGTTTTAACTTGGCTGGAAAAGATAGCTTGCTCATGTGTCCCTGTGTAGAATAGCTACAGTATAGCCAGTGCTCTGTGTGTGCGTGTACATAGAATAGTGAGGTGGGCATGCTGAGTTTGGGGTTTTCTGTGTCTCTGGAATGGCGCGTGTAGGAGTTTGATCCCTTGTTAAATCTAGATGTGAAAGCCCTTGCTGGCAGGTTATTTAGTTTGACAGGTGAGCTGAGGATGCTGTCTGGATGGCTATTGTAGGTTTCTTGGAGCACTTTGAGTAAGAATGGCAGAGTGAGCCTCAGTGATTCGGCACTGACTTACCTGCAAGCACTACATGAAAAAGGCTCTTGATGACATCTGGCTTCACTCAGGTTGTTATAAGAGAAAGTACAGGTTACCATTATGAAATAGACAATTTAATTAGTTTCTATGCTATGTGTTTGTACATGTAGTCTGTTATTTCTCCCAAGCATTGGTCTACTCCAGCTGACTAATGTTGGTTGAATCACAATTTTTTTTTGTTGCCATTTATGTTGTAACAAAAGTAGGTATTAAAAAAGGGCTTGGTGCCATTCAGGTGTCAGATGGTTAAGGCCCATTTCAACCAGTAGGCTTCTAATATGCAGTTATGTCAGGGAAAAGGGGAATAATAGAGGAAAGAGGCTGAGGTGGTTGACGGATTTCTCTCATACTCCTGCTGCTCAGTGTTGGCACTGTCTCTTGAGCAGCACAGGAGATAGGCATGAGTTTTCAGTGGTAAAGGAGAACGAGAGGTGGTGACAGCAAGAGAGCATAGAGAGAAATGGATGAATAAGAAGGCAGAGAGCAGCTCCATTTGTCTTTATCTCAGAAGTAGCCACTGGTTGATGGGGTAATCATGGATAAAAGATCTAGGGCTTGCTGGAAGCTTGAGACTGGGATGGTACAGTGTCGCTATCTGTCACTAGTCTGTTTTCTGTGAACAGCAGAGCACTCATAGCCTCTTACAGCTGCACCCGTTGCCGAGGAGAAAGGAACGAGAAAGTTTTTTGTAGCACAGTGAGTAGACATGCAATGTTTTATGCAGGTTTACATCTGCCTCATTGCCTTTCTTTTATTAATATGCTTTTGAGCGTATTCAGAATGGCCATCAGATGAGGCAATGTATGCTTTAATCAGTTTGTCCCAAGAGGCAGGTTCTAAGATTCTGGGGAGGGGCTGTAATTTTATTTTTCACAGTAAAGATAATGAAAAATTGTGCTATGAAATTACACTGCTGTATAATGGTGTTTTCTTTTTTGCAGTGCATGACCCCTCCGCACAGTCCTGACTTTGTTGAGATATCAGCTGCTATGCTCCTCTCCTCACAAGTCACTTACTCCAAGCCGAGGACTGTCATGGCAAATACAGCCGCCTGCTCAGTCACATCAGCAACCGGTGCCTCTCCCATAACCAAGCCATCTGTTATAAACATGGAGCGACAGTGCAGCCAGAAGCCAGCAATATCTGAATCCTTTGCCCCTCAGCCTTGCAGAGCCATGGCAACGAGTGTGATACGTCACACAGGTGATAGTTCTGCTTACCATCACATTCCTGCTGTGCAAGAGAAAACAAAGGTAGTTTCAGGCTACAGCACTTCCAGAGACTGGTGTGGAGCGGATGACCGAAGACATTCCAGACTGCCACAGGACACGTGTGCTGCAGATGATTTAATTAACAAAACCTCTCCAGTACAGCAACCTTACGCACATGACTCCAGTGATATTGTGACCAATAAAGGACAACTACCAGTCCGGCCTGTTTCGCCACAGACCCACTTACCAAAGAATTGTGAGAACGACTTGCAAAAAAGAGCTACCCCAGTGACAGCTGCCCCTGTTTCAAGCCCCCAAGTTCTTTGTCAAATGATCCCTTTAAATGGACAAAGCAGTATGATCAACGCCTATGTCAAGCCTTCAACTCCAACAGTCTCAACTCCCATGAAACCTATTTTACCACAGACAGCCCCGCTCTCTCAGCCTGTACTCATGGGACCTTCCGTGCCTCAGGGGACCGTCATGTTGGTTCTTCCACAGACTGCTGTCACACAGACACCGCAGTGCCCACAAACAGTAATGACTGTTGGGAACACCAAGTTACTGCCCCTTGCTCCTGCTCCTGTGTTCATCGCTTCTGGTCAAAGCTGCGCCCCCCAGATGGACTTTTCTAGACGGAGGAATTATGTTTGCAACTTCCCTGGGTGCAAGAAAACCTATTTCAAAAGTTCCCACCTCAAGGCCCACCTTCGCACCCACACTGGTGTGTACAACAGGGCGGGTCCTTTGTTGCTGCAGCACTGGCTTGTGTTGGGGTGCTGAAACGCACATTTTTTGGGGGGAAGGGGTGGGAAAGGGAAGAGGCAGGTGATCGGGAAACTTCTGCTCATCTCAGAGAAGGGAGGAATGTTCATTCTCTGTGGGCAAGCAAAACAAGACAGACTTTGTTCTGAGACCTCAACTGACCCCATAGTGTCAGAATTTCACACACTTTAGTTGGAGCGAAACTTTGCCCTCTGTGTGTGTGTGTTTAGGTTTGAGTGGAATCCTGCCATCTGGACTAGATCGAAATGAATTGTGCAAGTCCCTTGTTTTGGGGCATGGAGAGGTCTGGTGTAAGCAAACCATAGTACAGGTAGTTGGTCTTAATTGTTACACGAGTAAAAGAAAAGAGAGAAAGTCAGAAACTGAACATTTTTCCAGAGTTTTGTTTAGGCTAAATGGGAATGCATTGAGATTTTGGGATACTGTGTTAGGAAGTAGAGCTGCTACAGGAACGTAGCAGTTTATTCAGTTACAGAAAGGGAATTTTAAAGGTAAATGAAAATCAATTGTAATTAATGTGAGCTGATTTGCTCCATTAAAATCTGGTCAGTGTGGAGACAGTATACATGTGTTTTACTTATCCTTTTTCTAGCTCCAAGATCCTGTTAACACTAACTTTGAGTTCTCAGGGACTATTTTTGATGTTGAGGGACAGGTGTAGTGGGAGATTGGTGCAGAATAGCTCATTCAGAAGTTTGTCTAATTTTGTTTATCCTTGGCTTTTTTCCCCCCACCCTCCCTTGCCCCACAGACACTCTGGTTTATTGGACGTCAGCTTCCGTGGCAGGATTTGCATTAGTTTGCCAGCTTGTCTTTACAGTTCCTTTGGGGAAAGAGCTTAAACCCCATATGAAGCTGATAATCCTTGTAAACCAGAGCTCAGAGGTAGAATGATGCTTCTGCTTCTGGTTTGAGAGTAAGTGCTGCAGGCTGCTGAATTAACCTGGCACTACAGGATAAACATAGACTACCAACAAGTGTCTCGCTTTGAGCACGTGCTGCTGCTGCTGATCCATAGGGAAGCTGTGTGTGTCCCTGTATCGTGATTAAGACTAGGACATCTGTTGGAGGTGTAGCACGCTGACCCTTCACTAGGCAGTCCATGTTACAGGATCGGGGGGCAGAGTAGTTTAGCCTTCTTCTCCCACCTTTTCCCTGTACTCTGAGTAGCTAGGTGATATCACATACACCAAACATAGAACTTTACTCTCAATATCTGAAATAAGAACAATGCTTCTGTGGGTCTTCGTTTCTGCTGGACGCTTTTGTTCTGCTCCAAAGTGTTACTGTAAATTTGGGTCATGTGGTAGACGCTTATCTTGAGCTTTACGGGGTTTGCAGGTGGTAGATCGTGTTGTTTGGGATAGATCTGATGTTAAGCAGGATGAGCAGAAGCTGACGTGGACAGCCTTCCTGACTGCTGTTGTTTCTGGGCGTGCAGAACTCCCCTAGCTGTCCGTTGGACCTCCAGCTGTGTGGGGACAGCAGGACAGGCCATTCCCCAGTAGTACTCGCTGGGGCGATGTGTTTGTGTGCAGGACTGGATCACTGGAGCAGCAGGACTCTGAGGCTTGGTTCCAGGCTTCCTGTTTGCCCACAGTATTTGCTGATGACATACAGCAGCTGTAGAGCTGTGGTCACAGAGGGATGGGGACAGGGGGTTGCTTCTAGTTCAGTCAGCGGATAAGGTAGTTTTATGAAGAATCTTTAAACTGGGGTTTTGGACAATTAAAAAAATAGACTTGATTAAAGAACATTTAAAGAGATATGAGGGAGTAAGTAGAAACAATACTTATGATTTTTCTCTGGAACACAACTTGAGCTTAAGCTAATGTTGACTGCACACATGAGCAGTTCTGTGGAATTCATCAGTTTTTGCAAGGCAGGATTTGAGTTAGTTCTTTGATAAAACTGTAACACAGCTTCTCAAAAGTAAGTTATGCTTCTTTTATGTTCTGCAGGAGAAAAGCCTTTCAGCTGCAACTGGGAAGGCTGTGACAAGAAGTTTGCCCGCTCAGATGAACTGTCACGCCACCGCAGAACTCACACGGGAGAGAAGAAGTTTGCTTGTCCTGTGTGTGAGCGTCGCTTTATGCGCAGCGATCACTTGACAAAGCACACCCGCCGCCATATGACCACAAAGAAGATCCCCAGCTGGCAGACAGAGGTTGGCAAACTCAACAGAATTGCCACAGCAGAGAAACCGAAAAGCAGCAGCGCTCTGAGTATGCTCATCCCTGTGCCATCATCTGTCTGTCAGGGCTAGTGTGAGGGAGCGCCTTCTCTACAAACTTTCTGAAGATCAGGAAGAGCTCTGATGGCTACAACAGAACTGACAATGGCTTTTTTCCCCCATGTTTGTGCATACTTCAGTTTCCTTCAGTTTAGGTCCTCTGTTAATAATGCTATGCGAGAAATCTATCATATCTTTCCTCGTCCCTTCCCTATTTTTTTTTTCAACACTTGGGCAAATGCAATCACCAGCACTTCAGGAAAGCAGAACTCCTTGGAAATGATTTTGGCAATAGGTTAAAAAAGTCACTTGTAATGCTTGCTGTTAATATTTTGATGGACAGTAAAACAGGGTGATTTTTAATTTTTATACTAGTATTTTCTATACCAAATATATTTTGTATTTATTCATTTTGGTCTTGATATGCAGGCAAATTACTTGATCTGCATTAGTAGGGGTGCGCAGGATGAGACCCAGAGTTTTGGAAACTCCTTTTCAGTAAACCTAAAGAATTGTATTCAGAGCATTTTGTAAACACACAGTATTTGATAGCTCACAGTGGTTGGGATTTTCACACTTGCAGATCCTGATCCTGCTTTGGGCTGGTGCTGTTACACCCTCCTTGCGCAGGTGACATTGGAGGTTTGAGATCGAAGTGTGTCATCGTTTTTAAAACAAACCAAACCAGAATGACTTTCTTTCAGAAAAGAAGTGTTGAAATCCTCATTTTATAAATTCATACCCTTTGCAAGTGGAAGCCGTTGTGACTTTTGGTAGAAGTTTGACATACTGAGCATTCCCAAGTCCACACTCCACCAGAACGAAGTTTGGAGGAGCCAGACTGTTCTGATGGAGGTAGAAGCACAAACACTGTTTAGAAGCTTTGACACTAAAAATGATGCTTTACTTCCAGTCCTACTAAACCAGCATATCAAAATCTACAGAAAAATGCAAAAATGGCAAGACAACCCATGAATAATTAGCTGGGTCTCTTTGGTTTTTTTTTTTTTGAGTATGGGAGAAATAGAAAATTAAGGTTTTTTTATGTATTGTGGATGCTTGTGCACCTTATAGGAAATTTTTCAAGGCTTTCATTTACCTGTATCAAAGCACCAGAGGAAGTACTAATCGTGTCGTGACTTAAGAAATAGCCACCATGTCAACTTGATGATGCTCTTCATGTGGCCTTATACTTCCCCACAGTACTTTGTATAAAATCACCCTTTTCTATTAAATGAGATACTCTCCCTGTTGAATGGATTTTCTTTTACACCAAGTGTAAATATGGCTAAGAAGCAGAATCACTGGCTGCAGGAGTGCTGTGTTGTAATGGCGTGGTACGAGTAATAAAACGAAATGCCTGTAGCACAATCGGACTGCTCAGTTTCCGTGGTGCGGAAGGATGCGCATATGTATTGTGGTAGAGCTGTTGTGCTGTGAAGCACCGGGTGTTCTTTTGCTGGGAGACAGCTCACCTGCTGGATGAAATATTTCTGTAGTGTTTATTCCTTCTGGACTCTTCTCCCTTCAGCCACTCCTACACTGGAGCTTAGTTGAGAACTGAGGACTATTTTTCCTGGATGTGTAAAATGTGGATAACTGGGAATGCGCTATCTCTTGCACTGCTTTGTTGTTCTGAAATCCCGGTCTTGCTTCTCAGTGTGGGCAAAGCATGGTTCTCAGCTAAGGAAGTGCAGACTTGCTGATCTTGGCTAGCGCTCCCCTGAAATCAGCAGAGACCTGTTTCAGTTGAAAGCAGAATGTGTCACTATTTTTTACACTTAAGTCTATGGTTATAATTAATGGTAACAAGTTTTCAAACTGCACTAAATTGGAGTATTGTGCTAAGTGTACTGAAGTTTTTGTGCCTGACCTTTAAAGTGTCCACACCCTGTTTGCCCAACACACGCTGTAGTCCCACTGACTGCAGCGTATGCGCTGGTGAGTGTGTGCGCATATGCAAACCTCGTTTTGTGCTCTCCAGAGGGCTCGGTTGAAACCCCTCTTCCCGGTAAAGTGGATGCTTGTAGTGTTGCTGTTCTGTGTCGATACCCAGTTTTCCAAAGTCGTGTGGTGAAGAAAGAGACATAGCTGTTTTGTTTTGGTTTTTTGTTGTTGTTGCTCAGAAGTCCCTTAGAAGAAGGAGTTTGACTTTTGGATGCCGTTTTTGCATGCTTATAACTGGGGGAAGAGCATCCTGTCTGTAGTCCAGTAGCCAATTTAGTACTTTTTTTTTTTTTTGCAGACTTACGGGGTTCACCTGAGCAAAACAGTTTGGAAACTAGTGTCATAATTTAATAAGTTGTCATGTTAGTTTGTTGCATCGTGGGGGGAAATGGTGGACTGGAGAATATGGAATTTCAAAGAAATGTGTGTTGTGTATGTGCGCCACGATGCGGAAAAGCGACGGCTCCCTCTTTGTTAGTTTTACCTGGCCTGCGGTTCCCCGCAGCCCGCTCCTGTGAGGTGTGTGCTGCCTCTTACCACCCGTGTCCGGGATGTGCGGCTCTTTCTCCTGTGGATGTGCATGAATAGCTGAGCCGTGGTGTGGCTGCGCCTGCTCTGTTTGCTCTTTCTGTTCCTTCCTGCTGTGTAAGGGTTATTTATGGATTAAGCATGACTGGGATAGCTGCTCTCTTTGCACTTTACTGCCTGAACTATATTGTTCAGTCTTTTTATTTTGAGCCTATATTTTAAAGAAATGGAATCACATTTTTGTGCCCGTTTTTAACTTTTATTAAATAAAAAGTGTGTAATGTGACTGGTTTTAAATCATCAAAAAATTGTGAATTTTCAGGTTTCATACATGTCCATTCCAGAACTATGTAAATCCATCTGGATTAGGTTATATGTCTAGGCCAGTGGAATACTTTAGGTCTCTTACTTTAGTTCACTTACCTGTAAAGGCAGGACTTTCTGGATCCTGTTGTAAATTGACCAGTGCTTGTTCATTTATGATTTTACACAACACTTCTTGTGTATTTGCTAGAACGCATAGACCACCGCCAGGGTTTGGGGTTTTTGCATGCTGTCTGAAAACAGGAGTCTTGGGGTTCATAACTTGTTCTAGCATGGCCTCCAGAAGCTATCAACAAAAGCTAATGGTCTCAGTGCCGCTCTGTTAGTGTTGCAAGCTGTGCATGGCACGAATGCTGGAAATAAAGAAGAGATGAGAATTTGACTCAAAAGATGGCTGCATTAGCCCTGGTTCTTCCTGTTCCCGTGTACCTGCGTTCTGGTGGGGAAGTGGCTTTGGCAGGCTGGATGTCACCTCCAGGTCTCAGCTGGGAAAGAAGTGTCTAGCAATGGTGGCAGCAGCAGCAACTACTTTAAATTTTTAAGCATCCCTGCTATTTCTTTCCCTCTGACGAGTTCCCAAATTGCAGCAATGTTTATTTCTAGCAGGGTCATGTTTTAATGGAAGAGAAGGGGAGGAGAGGGTGTAATGACACCAGCTTTCTGTCACAGCCTTTCACTGCAGGGTGACTCAGTCTCTGCAGTCAGAGCCCTCGGAGAGCGAACTGGGAGCAGCGACTCAAGGCTTTGTCCGCAGAAGAGCACGTTGCTCTTGCAAGAGTGCAGAAGATGAGACGATCCTGTCGATGGTCCTGCTTCCCCTTCAGGAGAACAACTGGAAGGGAAGGCTTTACTGCGGGATCAACGCTCTGGCAGAGCAGCACAAACCCTTCAGCCCCTGGGCTCTGCAGGTCTCCGTAATGCTTTTGTCTCCTAGGGGAAGATGTCCTACCTGTCTGTTCCTGCTACTATTTTTCAAGGAATATTTTTCTGAGCATCAAGTCATATCCTGAACAATACCTGTAACTTTTTTGCAGATTTTTATATTGTCTCCTTTGCTTTGCTTATGTGAAACATGACTGGATTTTACAGTTCTGTGCTCATCTTTCTGCTTTTCCTCAGAACCAAGCTGTGGTCTGAGCTGTTACATGCAGCCAGGAGGTGCAGTCGGCACACATCCTGACGGGGCTGGAGTCTGGAACAGCTTCATCCTGTGAGAGAAAACAGCTTGCACGTGGGGAAGCCTTCCCAGCTACCGCTGTGCTAACACAGGCATTGTGTGGGCAAAAGTCTTTCTGTCTTGTAGCCATTCTAAATCCATGAAAACTAATAATTTTCTAAAGAAAAATGCACGTGCGCCCAAACGTGTCCATTGGTTTAATGCTACATTTTGCAGTTAGACCAGCATTGCTTTCCTGCATGTGGTTATACAGCCAAACCTTCAGCTTAGCAGCAGCTTGCCTCGTCTTGCTCGCAAACCGATGAGCACCAATCCACTTGCGGTTAGGATACTGGAAGCGTGAATCCGTTCTGAAGCTGCGGTGCTGGGTGAGCAGAGGTGGCGTGTGCTGCCGGGTGGTTGCACGCTTGGTGTGCCCCTCTGGCTTAGGCTACAGCTCTGGCTAACTCTCCAATTCCAGCTATAAAAGCTGTGCTCAACATCCTGTGGGTGATGAAGGTGGCACTTCATCTGCCGTCTCTTGTGAGCCGAATCCTGCCTCAGGGTTACATCTGGCTTGAGTTCATCTGCTGGGATAAATCTTCTAACTGGTTTTGAAGTTTAATCTGTGAGCCCATCTGCCTGTTTACCTTCCGTTTGTGTCTGGCAAGGCAGCTTGAGGCAGGCAGGCTATGGCCATGAGAAGGCAAACTTCTTCCATGCGTGCAAAAAGAGTAAATCATGACTCAAAACCCAGCAACCTACAGGCTAAGGAAACGGTGAGATGGTTCAGGAGGATGCTGCAAAGCCTCAGCCACGTCTGTTTGCAGTCCATGGGATTACCTTCCCTGCAGCAAGTATGTTAGCACTGAGGCATTTTCTTCCCAGACTGGTTTCCTCCTCTGCCAAATGCAGCCTTCCTCAATCTCTGCTTCAGTCCTTGAGTGTAGGAGGAGGAAATTGGGTGGCATTTACATCCTGGTGTGTGCAGAAGGCCATGGGCACATCTTACATGTGCTGAGAACTTGAGGAAGCTGGAGCATATCCTTTCCTGGGAGAGTTTTTTCTGGATGGGAAGAATACTTTAGATTTAATTTTCTCCCTTGTAGTCTCTTTCAAGTTCAGAGTGATTTCTCTTCTGTTGTTTATTGTTGTCCAGATAAACTCACTTCACCCTGTGCAAATAATTGCC